GTCAGAAGTATTATTGACGTTCGTTGATATAGCGTTTGTTTTAGCGCGATTGTTGAAAATAAGTGTATCGTGACGTTATATTCAGAAAGAATAAACCAGTTTTATTAAGTAAGGACTTGTGTCGTTAAGTTTCGTCGGAACGAAGTTACGGAAAGTTAATTAACAAACGGAGACGTAACAATATATATAGATCACTCTTATGAAATGGGATAATTCTTAGTTGAAATAAAAACGACTCACTGGATGAAAATCGTTTTTGTTCTCTTCTCAAAACATCATTAACTTGTAAAAGGAATAAAGTCAATATTAATTCACAATAGTTTGAAGTTACGTATTCAGTTACGAATGATAAGAATTTCTAAAGATTTTTAAGAAGTTGTAGAATATATTACTTTAATTTTACCACATTATCTGTACTCAAATGTAAATAAAAAATAGCCAACTACTCGTCATTCTCCTTGTTCTTCTACTCTCATATTACAAATATTGTAGTAAGGTTTTCAACTTGAGTAGTTCCTATCTGTTTAAACTAGAGTCGTGTGATGCACTGACGGTGTCTAAACACTATATCTGTTAAACCTAGGATCTTTCTGTCATTCGCCCAACACAGAAAGGACTATAAAAAGTATTGTTAACGTAATGCAGATAAACAGATTTCAACTTGAGTAGTTCCTATCTGTTTAAACTAGAGTCGTGTGATGCACTGACGGTGTCTAAACACTATATCTGTTAAACATAGGATCTTTCTGTCATTCGCCCAACACAGAAAGGACTATAAAAATATTGTTAACGTAATGCAAATAAACAGATTTCAACTTGAGTAGTTCCTATCTGTTTAAACTAGGGTCATGTGATGCACTGACGGTGTCTAAACACTATATCTGTTAAACCTCGGATCTTTCTGTCATTCGCCCAACACAGAAAGGACTATAAAAAGTATTGTTAACGTAATACAAATAAACAGATTTCAGCTTGGGTGGTTCCTACCTGTGAAATCTAAAGTGTTTCTGCCATTCACCCAACACAGAAAACCCACGAAAATTAGTTTTGACGTAATGTAAACAAACAGTTTATTTAGCTGTATACTGTTTCTCACCTCATTTATACTTTCCTTCAGAGAAAGACAAGATAAAGTTCAGGAAATCAGACGAAATGTGCTTCAAGCTATCAAGGTAAGTTTATGGGTTTGTTAAGTTTTAGAATTTCAGTATCTTAAACACCTGATGCTCAATTTTTACTTTTCTAAATATCTAGAAATTAATTTCAATATTAAATTTCCAATTATTTATTATTTTTTACATTGATTAATTCAGTACTTCAATTTCGACTTTTTTTCAAACTGTGATGGGTTCTGATAACACCAATTAAACAGTCAGCGTTTAAGTATTGTGTTCCATTCAGTGATAATATGTAGTTTTAGTTTATTATGTTTGTAAGCTACGAAAGTTACATATGAAAGATTACCGTGTTGTTATATTAACTGATAGCTTGAAAATAATTATCTTTTTTTTTCTCTTATATTAGTTTTTAAAATTAAAAAAAACAATAGCTGGTGAACGTGTTATTCCAAAACTTGACACCGAAATTTGAAATTTATTGAGTAATAATACTATAGGTTGTACTTAAAAATAGATCATGTTATTTCGGTATTCATCATTTTTAAAGATCATCCCAGGTGGACTATTGAGGCCAGTATCTTCTCAAATGAATGCGAAAATTACTTGTATGATCTTCTTGTCGTCATAGCAACCTGTGAATTATATAGACTGTCTTTCATATTTAACTTTGAAAACAGCTTTAGAGAAATAGAATGTTGTAGAAAATATTACCTCTAATTTACACCGAAGTAGTTTTTAAATTACTGTATACACTTTTACAGCACAACAAAACTTTTAGAAAGTAAAAATTAAAAAATATAGTAATACGTTGTTGTTGTTGTTTTTTAAATTTCGCGCAAAGATACTCGAGGTATATATCTGCGCTAGCAGTCCTCAGTTCTGAAATTATAACTAGGAGGAAGGCAGCTAGTAAACACCACCCACCGCCAACCTTTGGGCTACTCTTTAGCATAGAATACTGAGATTGACCACACACACATACATGAATGAAAGGGTGAGCCCATTTGGCGATTGACTTTGAGTAACTTTTAGATGTTTTTCTACTCAGCGATTCGTTTTGTTCTCGCGGGTTCGAATTCCATCATCGACCATACTCGCCCTTTCAGCTGTGGGGATGTTATAATGTGAAAGTCAATCCGATTATTCCATTAGATTTACCCAAGAATTGGTGGCGGGTGGTGTTGACTAAGTGTTAGGGCGATCGACTCGCAAGCTGAGGGTCGCGGATTCAAATCCCCGTCCCACCAAACATGCTTGCCCTTTCAACCGTGGGGCGTTATAATATGACGGTCAATCCCACTATTGGTGGATAAAAGAGTAGCCCAAGAGTTGGCGGTAATTGCTAGCTGCCTTCCCTCTAGTCTCACACTGCTAAATTAGGGACGGCTAGCTCAGATAGCTCACGAGTTGCTTTGCGCGAAATTCATCAAACACTTTCTACAGCTACACTATTATTCACTTTTAATGCTAACATACGGTTTTATTAAAGCAAATTATTAGTAAATTTTCAATACTTCAACACTTAAGACTTGTTTACTACTGACATGCAGGAACTTACAGCGAATATGCGATACCTTCGCCCTCCAGTGACGATAGCTAACCCGGAAAATCTGGATAGTCTAGATTTCATTCATAACTTGGATATGATGGACAACTACACCTTCCCGCAGGTAAGCTATGTTGTATTACAACTTCACCTATCGTGCAGAAACTTGCCATGTTTTTCTCATGTTGTGATCTCGTTAAATGTCAAGTTGTGTCTCCTCACTGTTAACGATATTTTCGACCACGATCCCAATAATATCTCACGAGGTTTGGCTAGCTTAGGAGATATAGGTTGATGCGAAATCTAAATATTAAACTAACAATACACAGCAATCTCTACAATAAAAGTATAACAATACAAAGATTATTTTAAAATAATAAAATTGGATGTATTAAACATTCTGACCAATACTGTTAATGAAAGAAATAATAACCTATACCTCTAGATAACAAAATCGTTATATAGGGGTAGGACATAGGAAATCGAGCTGTATTTGTATGAGTCAGTCTAAAGGTACAATTGTGTAAATTTCTTATTGCATGCGTGACGTCTATCGACAACCTATTTTCCTGCACAGACTTGGAGGAAAGAGCCTGGAATTGATCTGTGACATTGTTTTGTTTATATATATATATATCCATGTTAAAAAGTCACGTGCTATACACGATTATTTGTACCCTTAGTATCCTTATTAAAGGAGTCCATTATACTACACTCTGTATATATAATGAAAGTTTATCCTCTTGACTCAACGTTATTAGTCACATTTGGGTCACAGAAAATGTCATAACTCATACAATGGATCCTGTTGACTCAACGCTAGTAGTCAGATTTGGGTCACAGGAAATGTCATAACTCATACAATGGATCCTGTTGATTCAACGTTATTAGTCACATTTGGGTCACAGGAAATGTCATAACTCATATAATGGATTCTGTTGATTCAACGTTAGCAGTCACATTTGGGACACAGAAAATGTCATAACTCATATAATGGTTCTGTTGACTCAACGTTAGTAGTCACATTTGGGTCACAGGAAATGTCATAACTCATACAATGGATCCTGTTGACTCAGCGTTAGTAGTCACATTTGGGTCACAGGAAATGTCATAACTCATACAACGGATTCTATTGACTCAACTTATTGAATGCTCATTGAACTTTCTTGATGACCCCAGAATACTTATTGAACTTTCTTGATTTGTTATGTTAAGGACTTTGATTGTGTTAATAACTTGATTACACATAGACGTTTAGCTAAATACTTTACTACTACTAAAGGCATTTGTTAAGTTGGACATGAGGTTTTGAAATAAGGATCTTATCCATTTGATCTTCTGTAAAAGCATGTTATACTAGAATTCATACATTGTCCAGAGATGATTATAATATTTTGATTTCAATGTTTTTATTTCTCATTTAGTATTTGCATGTATTGATTTATTCTATAACAACACAACTGATATGATGAAGTTTACACCTTATAGATTTTCTCGGTAGTTTTGTGTTGATATTATCTTTTCATTTCTACAGGAATTTTATGAACACGTGAAAAAAGTCTGGGCTGATGAAGGAGTACAAGAATGTTATGGAAGATCCAATGAATTCTCTTTGATAGACTCTGCCAAATAGTAAGTAATATTTCTCTCAAACTAAAATGATAAATCTGTTTAAAGTTTCTTCAGTTAACATTGCAATTTCTATTATATCTGCGGTACCTGAGGAGAAATTTATAAGTTCATTATTTTGTGTTTTTAAATAGATTATGTTCTTTATATCAAAACAGTTTTGAAGTTCTATTACGTCATTACAGTCCACGTTTCCACGTCCAGTAATGCTCTATCTGACAACCGTGCATCTTGACAATAGCCCGTCAGCGTAGTTTCTATTCAAAAACACTCTGTTTCATGACTGTCATGTCTAAACTACGCTGTTCTTTCTTGCATACTTTCCATAACCCATTTAGTGTATGAGGACAACAGTTTCCCAACGCCCATTATATAAGCGCTGCGTTCAGCGACTTAACCAGTACGTAATCGTATGGAATAGCATGAATACCCGTTTCATTTGCAACTAGTTGAAGCAGTAGGAGCTTGAACTTGTGTTGCTTTTACAGAAGTAGATCCTTCTTGATTATGTTGCGCACTGTTGCCTGGCGCACGTGGACTGCTTTAGCCTCTGTCCTTTGTTACTAGACGTCTCACTTTCCTTACTACTACGGGGGTACGGATTGTTGTAAATCTTTTATTCAGGATTATCCCATTATTCTAAATTCTCAATTCACAATCTAAACACCTATTTTTGATCTGCGAGTATGAATATTTTGCGTCGGAAAGTGCTGTTACACACTTTTTTCCCTAAAGTGATAAACTTTCGATTACATCACACCACCTACTCAACGCCATACAATGAGAAATTATGGTTCTGATGCATTCAGTTCCACCGCGACTATATATCGGTAGTGATTGTTATATATTCGGATTCGTTTTGATAAAACGTAACAACCTTTTCTACTTACACTGCATTCCATTTAGTTTTTGTTGTTGTTGTTGTTTTCAGACAAGACGACACCGAAATTTAAAATTTTACCTTATATTTACATTGCTACTCGTTCACGTTTATTCACTCCCTCCATCGTATAATTGCAAAAAAAAAATTATATATATATATAAATATTTTGCATTATTTATTGATAAGAATTTAGAAATATACGATATTAATAATCAATTAAAAACTGATATCCTGAAAAGTATTTCTGATATTTTTCGGCACAAAAATGTCTCCATAATCAGAAGCAGAAATTTTGAATGTTTGAATTTTTTACGAGTATTTATGACTTGACCACACGAACTTCATAGTTTTGAAGAACAATATTAATATAAACTCAAGAAACTGCCCTTTTTTAAGCGCATAAGAATATTTTTACTTTTTTGTTTCTCTGTTTTTCTCCTAGCTTCTTAGACAAGATTGACGAAATTCGTGACCCAGATTATAAACCCTCAGACCAGGTTAGTTTTGCTCAATTATTTTTTTATGTCTGTGTATTAGCTGCCTGATAAAATTACCAGTTTGTAAAAGATTCCATTGACGTTCAGTATAATTCTATAATAGCCAGTTTCTTCTTATTGTTCTATTTTTTTTTTAAAGACTTAAACTGTATGTGTGCTGTTATGTCACAGTTCAGGGTTTCTACGTATTTGGTATCAATATCACGTGAGACGAGATCCGAACTTATGGGAGAGCTTTGATTTTCGGAACTGACAAGCTGGGTTCGAATCCATACGTGGCCGCAAAATATTCCCCTCACGTTAAAGCTATAAGTGCATTATAAGTGGTCCCTTAGGATGGGTGGTAGGGGTGTTGATGAGAGATTTTCTTCTCGCTGGGTGGCAGAAAACTACTACCCTCCCCATAATACAAATATAATAACATCGAATTTATTTGATGCTAAAATGATTGAGTGTAAACCTTACAAGTGTTTCATGCTATAACTTATGCCACTCCTTCACTTTTGTAACAAAATAGTAGTAGTAGTACAAAAAAACAAATAAACTTTCGTGAGGCCTCTTCGCTTCTGCACAAACTTCTGTGTTTTCTTTTTAGTTAAGTTTAGCTAACATGCAAGATATTTTGTATTTTAATCTAAACACAGTTAAACGTGACTTTTAGTATTCCATTTCATATCTACCATATAAGGCAATAGTGTTATCACGTGAATCAAGTAATATTACAACGAAAATTGTTATGGTGTGAACG